GTATTCATACAAAGAAAAAATTGGCTCAATTCAGTATAACATGGATGCTCAGAGTCTTCAGAGTCTTTCTCTGTACAGCCAGAGGCGAGGCCGGCTTTTTCAGCTTCACCCTTGGAGGCCCTGGAGGCATCAGAGGGGGCAGAGGAAGAGGCGGCGGTGGCGGCCACGGGCGAGACTGGCGCTGGTACAACAGCCACATCAGCTGAGGGGGAGGAGTGGTTGCTCCTGGTACTTTCTTCCTCGGTGCAGCTGTCCGTTTTCCACGCCCCATTGTTATAATTGATTTTATATTCGATATATGTTGGCTTAATTTAAAAAAGAATTTAAGATGAAGCGAAGGTTCTGGAATATTCTGAGGGAAACTCAGCCGATACCAATGGTGGAGAATTTGGTAGGATGACCTCCTGATTGTTCATTTGGAGATGAGGCCTACCTGGTGGCGATGCTGACATGGTGATGTAATTTTCTCGACATGTGGCAGTGGCAAATTGATGCTGGCAGAAGACCAACTGCAGATTCTTTGGGTTGAGGGCAATGTTCAGGCCCAGTTCTTGATAAATGCCAGTCTGGAACTTGCTGTCTCCATTTTTATCTCATTTTCTTCCCTATATTCTTGTTGTTGTGGTTTAAATGAAAACAATTTAGGCTCAAATTCAAGTTTTTGTGATTCACAAAATTTTTGTTCATCATTAACTGATCTTAATTTTTTTATCACTAGAAGGTGGATAGTAATATATATCAACTCTTGGTCCTGTTTTTCTTGGTACTTCTATCTTTTTCCATTTTGTTATATCTATTGGGGTATGTGTGTTAATATCATGACTATCATCATTATGGTCATTGTAGGGATATCTATCATCCTGAGGATAGAAAACACTTGGTTCTCTAGACGCAGTACCAAATATAAAATTTACGCCTTTTTTAGCTTCCTCAATATACACATGTATTGTTTCAATTACTTCCCTTTCTTTTGGTAACCAAATTCTATATACCTTTGTTTTATTTGCATACTACTTATAGGAGGCACCGTTTCTCTGAGGGTAAACATCTGTTAGAAATTAGATATAATTCCTGTGACCTCAGTCGTAGGTCACAGAAGAGATGCAAAGGATCACCCTGCAGATTATTGGCGATCAGCCACACTTTTTCGGTATTTGTGAGGGATAGGAACTCTACCAATCCTCTAATTCATCGAAAAACTGCTCAGCAGCATATGTACCATCAAAGGCCAGTATTTGAAGAGCAGCTGTCTGTCTCAGTTCTAGGTGCCATAGATTGTCAGCCAGCAGGCTTAGGGCTGTACTGATCAGCAGTAACTCCCCAACATTGCCATTTCTGTGGTTTTTATCCCTTTTGGTAGGATGACCTCCGGGTTGTTCAGGCGATGTCAACATGGTGATGATGTACTTTTCTCTGCGTGTTGCAAATTGATGCTGGCAGAAGACCAGCGGCAGATTCCTGTAAAGGGTTGTAGGAGCTGTTGACAGCTTGTCTTCAGAGATTCATGCAATTTTCATGACAGATCTTGATCCTGTTGACTTTTTGTGGTATTTGAATGAAGTAAGTCTCAAGAGCATTGCAAAAACCTACACAAAGATTATAGTTAGAAAAGGTATTCATACAAAGAAAAAATTGGCTCAATTCAGTATAACATGGATGCTCAGAGTCTTCAGAGTCTTTCTCTGTACAGCCAGAGGCGAGGCCGGCTTTTTCAGCTTCACCCTTGGAGGCCCTGGAGGCATCAGAGGGGGCAGAGGAAGAGGCGGCGGTGGCGGCCACGGGCGAGACTGGCGCTGGTACAACAGCCACATCAGCTGAGATGGCGTGTTTACTTCCAATCTGGGTTGACTTGGTGGCGGATTGTCATAAGGGGGAGGAGTGGTTGCCCCTGGTACTTTCTTCCTCGGTGCAGCTGTTCGTTTTCCACGCTCCATTGTTATAATTGATTTTATATTCGATATATGTTGGCTTAATTTTAAAAAAGAATTTAAGATGAAGCGAAGGTTCTGGAATATTCTGAGGGAAACTCAGCCGATACCAATGGTGGAGAATTTGGTAGGATGACCTCCTGATTGTTCAGTTGGAGATGAGGCCTACCTGGTGGCGATGCTGACATGGTGATGTAATTTTCTCGACATGTGGCAGTGGCAAATTGATGCTGGCAGAAGACCAACTGCAGATTCTTTGGGTTGAGGGCAATGTTCAGGCCCAGTTCTTGATAAATGCCAGTCTGGAACTTGCTGTCTCCATTTTTATCTCATTTTCTTCCCTATATTCTTGTTGTTGTGGTTTAAATGAAAACAATTTAGGCTCAAATTCAAGTTTTTGTGATTCACAAAATTTTTGTTCATCATTAACTGATCTTAATTTTTTATCACTAGAAGGTGGATAGTAATATACATCAACTCTTGGTCCTGTTTTTCTTGGTACTTCTATCCTTTTCCATTTTGTTATATCTATTGGGGTATGTGTGTTAATATCATGACTATCATCATTATGGTCATTGTAGGGATATCTATCATCCTGAGGATAGAAAACACTTGGTTCTCTAGACGCAGTACCAAATATAGAATTTACGCCTTTTTTAGCTTCCTCAATATACACATGTATTGTTTCAATTACTTCCCTTTCTTTTGGTAACCAAATTCTATATACCTTTGTTTTATTTGCATACCCTTCCATTATACTTATATTGGCTTTAGATTGAAATTCATTTCTTTCAACCTTTGGGACATAAACATAGGCTAATGAACCAAAAATTTCAAAGTGTTTTATAGATGGTTTATGTCCTAGGATTTGTTCTATTGGACTTACTCCTTTAGTCAGAGCATGTTCACATCTATTTTTGGTCCGATAGCCTGTAGTGGATGGTACTGTACTGGGCGACACGATCCATGAAGGGAGAAGGATCCTGTCCAGACGAGAGGCGTCAACACGGCTCCCGTAGCTGACCAATCTGGTTGAAATGTGAATGGCGTCGAAGAGGGTGGCCACATCGACGAGGGCTGTCTGATCCAGTAGCTCGGAGAGGGCCTCCACCGAGCTGGATGCTGTGTCTTTCGTGCTTTTCTCGTTGAAGTTGAGGTTGCCAACACCCACCAGTTCTCCTTGACCGCGGTGGCTGCGATGATCTGCAGCTGCTGGTGCCGCTCGCGAGGAATATGAGAGAGATGACAGTTGATAACGCTCACTTCCTGGCCGTGGACATCGAGGGAGACGATGGAGATGTGGCCGGACCACAGGATGCGCTGCCCCAGGACAGCGACCTCCGGCGCGAAGACGCAGGCGAGGCCCAAACCCCTGATGGCTGTAGGAGGCACGACTGCGGCGAGGTAGCCTAGGCAGAGGTCTTGAATAATGTCCAGGGACGAGGTATTGGTCTCCTGGACAAAGGCAACGTCTATGCGATGTTGTCTCAGGAAGTGGCAGAGCTCAATGCTCCTCTCGCGAGCGGCGAGCCCGCGGACGTTGATGGAAGCTAGACGGAACCTCATTGGGAGCTCTTTGTCTGGGCCCGGACAGCCAGGAGGTGATTATAGAGAGCTGTCTGGGTGGCGGGCAGGCAATCCAGCAGCTTTTGGGAAACACTGTGGAGCCCAATCTTTTGGGCTCTCCCTGTTAGGAATGGTTAGGGATATAGGCTCTAGATGGCGTGCGCCACGGGATGCACCGCAGAGTGCTCCACAGAGTGCGCCCACGTGACTGTTTTCGTCTATATAAAAGAAGGTATTAGAACGGTGGCGAGGAGAAAGTGTTAGATCGGAGTAAGTTGTGTGGCGGAAAGTGGATCAAAGTAAGAAGTAAGGTAAAAGGTATAGTAAGTAAGGCGGAGGAGAAGGTATAGTCGCGAAGAAGAAGAGCCCTGTCCAGACAGTTTCAAAGTGAATGTAGATAAAGAACCCTGTCCAGACAGTTCCAAAGTGAAAGTAGATAAAGAAGAACCCTGTCCAGACAGTTACAAAGATAAAGTTAAAGACAAAGTCAAAGAGGATCAAGTCAAAGAAACATTGTGAACTGTACATATGTAAATAGAGCCTTTTGAGATTTCGGATTTGCATATAAGAAAATAAAAGTTCAATATTATTAGAAAGGCTGAGAGTGATCTTTCTCTAGGATTTTAATGACTGGTAGTCATTCTTAGATACAACACAAAGACTTAACACTCCCCATCTTCTCAAGGAGGTTATGTAGGCCAGGGGCTGAGACGAGGGCATCCATGATTTCACCCTTATCCAGACCAAGATGTTCTGCTTCTTCAAGGGGGGAGTTGGGGATGCTCTCGAGCAGTTCCTTTAGTTGCTGCCGAGTTTTGGGTCCGCCTCTAGAGGGAATAGAGACCTGGGTCTCATATTCTTTCCCTGAGATAGCCTCAATTTGCACAAATTTAGTTTTATTGTGCTGAGGGTCTGACTTTTGTGCAACCGCAAGAGAGGGAGTAGATGCAATAGTGCCTGAGGTTACCGCAGGAGCAGTAGCCACAGTTGAAGACACAGGAAAGGCGGGGTTGGCTGTCCAGTGGGCGCGGTGACAGGTGGGGCTACGTTGGAGGGCGCCTGCCCGGAGACTTCAGCAGGCGTCTTCAGGGGGCAGTTGGCTCTACGGTGTCCCTGCCTCTGGCACCGTGAGCATTTAACTCCATAGGAGAGGAATGCTGGGAGGGTCTCCCCCATGGACTTGATGTCGAGACGTAGTGGCAGCCTTTCCAGCTTCATTCCTTCGTTCATCTGGATGAACACCTCCCTCCTGCTGTCCGCAAATGTGAATCCTCCCACGGTGAGGAATACTGGGGCGATGGAGGTAATCTGCCCATAAGGCCTTAGGGCAGCCATGACTTCCACATCTTCCACAAAGAGGGGCAGGTTGCTGATGATGATTTTTTCCGCCCTTTTGCGAAAGGGGATGGACTTAAGGAGGGTCTCCTCAATTTCCAGGCCATCTTCGATGAGTCGGTCGGCGTGGGCCTTGGTGGAGAGGCCAACGAGGACATGGCCGTTCATTCTTGCCAGCTGTAGGATGTTGGTACTTCCTATCAGCTTGTCCAATGCCTTCAGGTATTGTAGCGGGTCGAAGTCGGGGCAATGTTCCAGATAAACATACTGTTCTCTGGTGATTGTGGACAGCTGGGCCCTGGATTGCGCGATTCTCTGTCGCGTGGCTTTGATCTGCTGTGCAAGCGGTGGACGCTTCACAGGAGTCTTGTTGTATGAAGGGTTGGCACTCTTCTGGGTCATGTTGTTGGACTGCGCCGGTGAGGATCGCGGATGAACCGAAGTCCTCTGCCTCTTTCTGCTAACCATGGTGAAGGGATTAGGGTTAGGCGAGGCATCTTGGTCATCCATCACGTCCGCCCAGTTGACAGCGCGGGGGGATCAGTGGTGGGGGGTACAGCTGGACGTCGTCCACCAACAGCTGTGGCTTGACACTGCCCTTTGGGAAAGTGGCGTCATCTTGTTGTCCACTTTGTTTTTTAGTATTTGCTGATTCCTCAGCCGCATGCTGGTCAATTTGATATATTATTATATCACCCTGTAGAGGGTTTTCAGGGCTTTCAGCCAGTATATTATAACTATTATGGCATTCCATAATGTCGTTGCTGGCATACTCGATTATCCCCTGATTCATCCATTCTTCAAAGATTTGCCCATACTCTTTCATGTCTCCAACTTCTTCAAGTTTTCTTCTTACAGAGCTTAGTTGGTTTTCGGCTTGGTCTCTATTCGTAGGAATCCTTTCCTTGTCTTGCACCCAGGGTAGAGCTACCTCATAGCGCCCCTCAATATCTCGCATTGTGGTGTGTGCAAAATGTTCCTCCATTTTAGCTTGTAACGACTGGGTCTTCTTCTCAACCTCCGCATCAGAGACTCCAATTGCATCTAATTTCCACAAGTTTTCTAAATCCAAAGATAAAAATGTGGACACGCAAAGGGAGCTGGTGTCATCTCTCACCTCCATCGGGGGAATCTTTCCCAACACAGTCCATCCTAGTTTGGTATGGATTGCCACAAGTCCAGATGAAATTCTTCTCTGATCGTCAGTTAGCAATCTTCCAGTGATGTCCGCACCTATAAGGACTTCTATACGGTCTCTCATCAAATCAGACATGTTAAGTTCTTCACTCCCTTCTAAAAATGATCTAGGACACACCAGAGGTATGCAGATAAGGGGTTGACCTAGTGCTTCAAACTCGCAGCGATAAGAATTATTAATGTCCGATAAATGAATGGTATAGAACTCATGTTCAACTACGTCGGTACTCGATCCTTCAAACAAGGAATGCCGGAAGAACTCTCTCCTAGATTGTTCGTATTCCATTTCCATTGCTGTGCTATGTAAAATATATTATCTTTGGGATCCGGTGTCTATTATAGCCCGTGTCATCTTCTCCGTTCTGTTTCCTTTGAGGGTCACTCTCAAAGTAGATAACAAGACGTCTGGGGAGGTTGATAAATTGGTGGGAGTTTCATCTTTCACCGTTGGAGACTTAGAAAACCTACCTTGATCTAAAATCCGTTTTGTGCATATGACATCCAGGTGGGAAGACAGCCTTGAACTCCTTCTTTTCCGAAAATAATAATGATTATGTATGTGGGGATGGATGATGGTGGTGGGCGCAGTCTTGGTCGAGTGACAAGGGTTCCACAGGGGAAGAACAACACAACTCTTTTGGATGGGTTTGAATAGGACCTGCGAGGGAGGGAAGAAAGTTTGGCGGAGGCGGCTGTCCTTTCACATCTATGGAGCGTACACTACCTTTATTGGAGCCTATGTTGAGCACACCTAGCTCGTAGCACGGTCACCTACGTTCTGCTTTTTTCTTTTCCGAGATATTCGTCATCGACTATCACAGACTTCTCATTGACTGAGATCCTCACACGTGCGCTCTGGGGATTCGTTACTAGTTTGTCCTCCTTAAAAGGTGATCGGCTCTGAACCTCCATTGCCGTCATGATTGCAATCTTCCAGGAAGAAGAAGGCCTTTGAGATTAAGTTTTATGGATCCAGGGCAGTCTCCTTTACTTCCTGGATGATGCAATCCTGTAACTTTGTTTCTTTCCATCTCGCGAGGCCTAAAGTTTATTAAACCTTTAGATGATATATGGTATATAGATCGTGGTGGGGGTACATAATCCTATATACAGATTATCACAGATGCATCCCCTACATGTGAGAAAATTAAAGAGGGGTAGTCTGAATTGAATTCTGTGGAAGAAAAAGTAATTTTGTGAGGAAAAATTAATTAGGGAGCAATGTGTCAAAAAATGGAATCAAAAGAAATAAAAATGATTTGTGCTGGTGGGAAAAATTGTTGAGTGATTGAGAAAAAAAAAAAAGAAAATGGTGCCTATACAATTATTCAAACTTGTTGTATGGAAAACTACATCAAGGGAATTTTCTGTTAGGGCCTTGGGAAATCAAAGAAATAATACTAAAATAAAAATAAATTTTAAAAATGTTTTAAAATAGCGCGCTGGGGATAAAGATTTGTTATAAACCTTTTGAGTGGTCGTTCCTTCCTTTCTGAAGAAAGGTAAGCTCGAAAGCTTTCTTTCTTTTTGTCTTTTCACCTAACTTTGAAGTGGTAATGTGCATGCTTTTGTTCGTATTAGGCCTTTAGATCTGTATTTCTGTGTTGGGCGTGAGTGTTGGATGTTGTATTGTTATTATTTAATGTATTAATTAAACATTACTCACCAGATGAAATTATTTTATTTCAATTATATATATTTAAAAGGTTACATTTATTTTATTTTGCTATTTATTTATACCTTTAAATCCAATGTTTACGCTTCATGCCTTCTATGATGATGATATCTCTATCTTTTAACACACAGAATACTACATTCCCTCCTTCCTTTAGATGAAAGGAATCATGTCTTTATATCTTGATGATGGCTTGATGACTCTTCCACTCCTGGCGGTTCCTTGGTAGTCGGCAAGGGTGGAGAAACCTCTGATGGCAACTGGTGAAGAGTCTCGGCATCAAGCCTATCTAAAACAACTGGGTCAAATGTAGACCCTGTTCTACTTGAACTTGGTTGGTTTAAAGAAGTGTCCTTGTCTTGGTTTGAGGAATTATTATCTGGCATTTGTTCATCCGAAGAGTTAGGGTGTTCAATTCTTGCTGAATCTTGAACTAAGATTTTCCTGGCTCCATATTGAATTATTTGATGTTGGTTTCATCTTCTGTATCATTAACAAGTGAGCTTAATTTAGTCTTGATTTCTCTTGAAAATAATAGGAATGCTGGAGTCTTTCCTGTAGATCTGTTTGTAGTAGTTCGGTAAGACATTAAAATTCTGGATAAATCTTCTTTCCAATCTTTCCCTTCTTCAGAACTTGAATTAAATTGTTTCTTTAGAAATCTATGGAATCTTTCTATCTTCCCATTACTTTTTGGGTAATATAGGGTGAGGCTTTGATGTGCCCGATTCCACATTCTTTTAAAAATATTTCCATTGATGTACTTACAAACTGTAAGCCATTATCAGTTACAACTTCATGTGGATAACCATGTCTTGCAAAAAGCTCAATCAATTTTTTAATAATTGTCTTGTTGGAAATGTCTTCTATTATCATTGCTCCAGTTTATGAAGAATAGTAGTTGATCACTGTTAAAACATAATGATGGCCAATTGGACCAACTATGTCAATTCCAAGTTTCATCCAAGGTTTTGATGGTAACGGAACTATTGCAATGGTTGATTCCTTACACAAATTGGACAGTTTCTTATCAAATTTTCAATGTCTAAGTCCATGTTTATCCAAAAATATTTTTCTCTTAACAGTTGTTTGGTTCTTGTCATTCCTTGATGTGTTTCATGTGCAATTCTTAAGACTCTCTTTATTAGTTTTGACGGTAGCAAAATTCTACTTCCTTTTAAGATAAGAATTTCAAAAATTGAGAGTTCATCTTCAAACTTATAAAAACATTTGAATTCTTCATTCAAAGGATATGGCCAAACTCCCTTTGCAAATTAATTTGCACTTATTCCTGTTAATCCTAATGCCTACTTTGTCAAATCTTTGTAAGACTTTTCTAAGCCTTCCTTCTAGTTCTTGTCTATGGCGTAAACTACGACATCGTCCAAGTAACAAATTACACCTTTCAAATCCATTCCTTTCTGTTATGCCTCTGGAGCACTTGATAGACCAAAAGGAACTTTACAAAATCTGTAACAACCACGGTGCATGATGAAAGCTGTAAAGGGTCTTGATTGAGGGTCTAAGTCAAGACGTTACACTGTGCACCTGTGTCTAGTTTCATGTTTACCTTTCTGCCTTTAATTTTGACTTCCTCATACCAATCTTCGGTCAGGTTGGTGTTTTCAACTGATTGGATTACAAATTCTTGAATCGTTTCAGGTTCTGGTGACCCAACAATTTGTCTGACTTTGCATGAATTTGTGTTCCGGGATCTGCAAAGATTTGCAAAATGGTTGAGTTTCTTACATTTGTTGCATCTCTTTTGATATGCCGGACATTGGTTGATTTTGTGGGATCTACCACAATTTCTGCAGTTTTCTATTATTTTGTGACTTTGGTTAGTGGTGTTTTCTATCCTCAGCTCTTTTCTATCTTTCCACTTCTTACTGTTCATCTTTGTCACAGCAACTTGTTTGTCTGAGTCGGCTAGTACATGTTTCATTTGGTTTGTAGCACATGCTATGCAAATTTGTGTGGCTTTTTCTAGATTAAGGTCAGCCTCACTAAGAAGTCTTTCTCTTATTTCATTGTTGATAATTCACACAGCTATTCGATCTTTAAATAGTTCATCAGACATGACAGCATATTTGCAGTTTGCTATCTGTAATTTGATCCTAGCCAGAAAATCATTATATGATTCATCTTCTTTCTGTTTAATCTGATTGAATTTGAATCTTTCAATTGTAGTGTTCAGCTTTGGAGAAAAATAGTTGTTGAACTTGTCTTTTACAATGCTCAGATTATTTTTATCTGCATTATTTAAGTTGAAAGATTTAAAAATATTTTGAGCCTCTCGTCCCATTGCAGCCATAAAGATAGCAACTACTTAATTGAGTAGCAATTTCATACCATTCAAAGCTTTCAAGCCAAGATTCCCAGCCCTCTTTGTTTAGTTCGTTTAGGCCTATTTGTTTTGGAGGTCGAATAGCATTTTCCGCCATGTTGTTGTTATTGTAATTTTTTTTTTTAACTACACTTATTTCTTTTTGCTTGTAAATTAAATTATTTTTGTATATATTATTATGCAACTTGAATCTTATTTGAACATGAAAATTTGAGATGTTCTGAAATACTTTAAGAACTTGGAAATTAATAAATTGTTCTTACCAAGTAGCGTTGTTTACAAGCGCCGCTGCCACCATGTAACATCCTCGTGTTTGTTGACGTTAAGCAGCAAGAAGTATCTGGAAGATTAAAAGAAAAGTCTTTATTTCCTTAATGCTAACTACGGACATAAGTTTACATAAATAAGTTAAAACAAAGCATCTAGGGCTGCGTATCTTTTATTTCATAATTATAAAACAAGCTTTCGGGCTCATACGCCCTTCTACAGGAGTTAATGAACGACTAACCATCTAATCTGAGATTACATTTTATATATGTATCTATTATTTTGCATATTGGCCTGATTGAATAATTAACATATTTAGATTTACATATAGGTTGCATAATTTGGGAAATATTAATTCTAATTAATAGGTGGTTATATGAATTATTTTTTATGAATATTATGTTGCATGTTTTCGTTTTTTATCATATTATTTTGAAATTTAACAGGGTTTTTTCTATTGATAAGTTTACATATGTCGATATATTTTACAATAAGTCAAAAAGGCAACTCCACAGAGTACCATCAATGACTTATTTCGACTTAGAGCGCTATGTCCCCCTAGGGACATTTGCACTTTAGCGAATGCTTTCTGGCATTTGTCATACCAGACCCACGTGACAACCTTTTGGAGAAGGTTGTTAAGTGCCAGACAGACAAATAAACTTTATTGACGTTTCGTCAATATACAGACTCAAAGTGAGTCATTAAAAGCAAACGGCCATATAAAATATTTACTGCAGAGGTGGTCTTCCCTGAATCCAATTGGGAAATTAAGTCCTTTATAGTTTTAGATAGGCTCTGGCCAGTACTGGGGTAGTTGTCTCCAAGACGCTCTCTGAAAGAGCTGAGGAAATCGGCAAGGATTTTTTTTGTTTCCAGACGAGAGTCGCCAAACGAGAAATTCTCTATCCTGGTTGTAAAGGATCGCATCTACGACTTCCTTCCTGGTTGTACCGCTCTTGTATATGGGGCTCAGGAGAGTTTCATCATTTAGCTGTGGGAATAGCTCGCATATTTGCTGGTGGATAAGCCTTCCCTCAGGAACTTTGGGGGGAGGCAGTAGAAGTGGTGGGGCTGCTATCCGACTTTCACGGCGCGCCTCCCGAGCATCCTCGTATTCCCCGACCATGTCTGCAGGCAATGGGGGTGTTGGGGTCACTGTGGATGGCTTGATCTTGAGCTCAGCCTTGACCTGCCTGAGGACCTTGTATAAGTTGCTGTTGTTTCCGGGCTTCAGGTCCAGCAGTTGATCGGCCAGACCGGCGAGAGCATCACTCTGCGGGGGTGTGAGCAGGGGTCTCTGCTTTTGGACCTTGGTTTTTGAGGAGAGGAGGTCCAAGACCTCCCCCGCCCAAGTCCAAGGCCCTCTGTCTCAGCGAAGGAAATTCCGGGGTTTCTCTCCAGAAAGCCCGCAAGGTCGCCTCTTGTTGTCCGCCCCAGTGATGTGGAGGGTGACTCGAGGTTCCCCTGAACAGGCAGAGGATCAGGAGGGGCAACGGAGGCTGGCTGAGCATGAGGCACTGCTCCGGCAGGCTGAGAGGCTGGAGGGCGAGGGTCCACGGAAGCCTCAGGTGCTTCCATAGATGCCGGGGGTGCTGTCGTAGGCGGCCGAGGCGTGATGGAAGGGGGCTCCATTGCTTGTGGGGTTGGAGGTGGGCGGCGCTAGAACTTCGACCGCTACTTCCATGGGCTCAAGAGGAGGAGCCACAGTGTCAATTGGGGTTCTGGCAGACAGGGTGGCGGAAGGGCCAGAAACTGAAGACCGAAGCGCAGGGCGCTTACTGGCCAACTTGTGTGACGAAGCCTGGGTCACTGGTGTTGGGTGGGTCGGCTGCTGAGACGCGGTGGGCGACGCACCAGGAGGATGGAGTGCGGGGTGTGGCTGGCCGGTGTTGGTGGTCCTCCCAGGATTCATTGGGCAGTTTGCCCGACAGCGACCCTGCTGGCCACATCTGGAGTATTTTATTCCGTATGAAAGGGCGTTGCCTTTGTTTCGGATGTCGATGCGAGTTGGGATTTTCTCCAACGTGATACCCTCCCTAAGGAGAATAAAGGCCTCGCGTTGACCATCCGTGGATGTGACGTCGCCGTAGGGCCTGAGAGCCTCGGTGACGGCAGCGTCATCCACGAAAAAGGGCAGGTTTCCGATGGTAATTTTCTCTGCCCTTTTCTTGAAGGGGAAGGCCCTGAGGTACGTGTGCCCGATTTGTAGGCCTTTCTTTATGAGATGTTCCGCCAGGGCTTTGGTAGACAGGCCCACCAGCATGGGTCCGTTGATTCTCATTAATTTTAGAATGTGACTGGCTCCACCGACCAGCTCGTCCACCGCCTGCAGGTATTGGAAGGACTCGAAGACCGGGCAGTGCTCCACATAGACACAGTGTTCAGGAGAATGGATAAATAGCTAGGATAAAAACAAAACATCTAATTTCTAATTTATATAATCATCTGTGGGAATTGGTGGGACTTAGTCCTCAGCATGTTGGGTAGGTTTTGTATGGTATCAACATCCAGATAATTTATTTTAGAACCGGAGTCTTACTTGCTTCAGTTCGTCTCTTAAGTTCTGGGGCATCCCTGCGGTCATTTCGTTAAAGTTGTTTAAACTAAGTTTTCCAATCTGCTCATCGGTCATATTCAATACGATGACATCATCTCGGAGAATGAAGAAGGACCCATTCATCCTGGAGAACTCGCCAGAGCTAATGTAAAAGCTGTCATCGGAGTCGGCTCTCAGGAATTCATAGATGTTTGGTCTAAAGTCCCGTCGCAGCTGCCGTCCCAGGGGATACTGACCATCCTGGTCATCATTCTTCTGCTCATCATTCTTCTGCTCATCATTCTTCTGCTCCAGGGTCTTCTTCAACGAAGAGATCTGTGAGTCTTTTTTCTTGATCTGGGCAAGGAGGGCGAGAATCTTCTTCTGGTTAGATTTTTTGACTGCAGCTATCTCCGCGTTGGTGTGAGCCAGCTGAGTGCGGATGTCCTCCAGCTGCTGCCGCAGCACCACCTTGTTGCCCTCGTAGCGCCGGTGCAGGTCTGAGAAGGCAGTCTCCACCTTCTCTGTAATTGTCTTGACTAACTCCTCAGAGCTGGGATAGGGGATGTTGTCCAAGTGGGCTCTCTCTTCTGGTTCATCCTGGTAATACCGCCCAGCTTGGGGTACCAAGCTCTCTCCTAGCAGAGGGAGGTGATCTTGTCCGCCAGGTAGGAGTGGTGCTGCATGCGGGCGTGACAGCCTAGTACAGCCGCCGCGGTGTCCAGGAAGAGAGAGTCCTTGTCCTCGTGGGACATCACGGCCAGGGCGTCCACCACCACGAGGCACTCCATACCCTGGTAGGTCACCTGGCCTCCGCTGTGTGGAAGGCACAATGCGCAATTCCGTGGTGGCATCAGGGGGAGGGGGAGGGATGAAATTCTCCTGCTCCCTCAGGGCCCGCAGGTATGCCGATACCTCACTAAAACTTGGATATTTTCGCGGCATCTTGCAAGCGGCGAGGAAGAATGGCTTTTGATAATTGTAGGATGTGCTAGCTTCTTGGGTTTTCTCTGCAGGATGATACGATACGAAAAAGGGCAGGTTTCCGATGGTAATTTTCTCTGCCCTTTTCTTGAAGGGGAAGGCCCTGAGGTACGTGTGCCCGATTTGTAGGCCTTTCTTTATGAGATGTTCCGCCAGGGCTTTGGTAGACAGGCCCACCAGCATGGGTCCGTTGATTCTCATTAATTTTAGAATGTGCCTGGCTCCACCGACCAGCTCGTCCACCGCCTGCAGGTATTGGAAGGACTCGAAGACCGGGCAGTGCTCCACATAGACACAGTGTTCAGGAGAATGGATAAATAGCTAGGATAAAAACAAAACATCTAATTTCTAATTTATATAATCATCTGTGGGAATTGGTGGGACTTAGTCCTCAGCATGTTGGGTAGGTTTTGTATGGTATCAACATCCAGATAATTTATTTTAGAACCGGAGTCTTACTTGCTTCAGTTCGTCTCTTAAGTTCTGGGGCATCCCTGCGGTCATTTCGTTAAAGTTGTTTAAACTAAGTTTTCCAATCTGCTCATCGGTCATATTCAATACGATGACATCATCTCGGAGAATGAAGAAGGACCCATTCATCCTGGAGAACTCGCCAGAGCTAATGTAAAAGCTGTCATCGGAGTCGGCTCTCAGGAATTCATAGATGTTTGGTCTAAAGTCCCGTCGCAGCTGCCGTCCCAGGGGATACTGACCATCCTGGTCATCATTCTTCTGCTCATCATTCTTCTGCTCCAGGGTCTTCTTCAACGAAGAGATCTGTGAGTCTTTTTTCTTGATCTGGGCAAGGAGGGCGAGAATCTTCTTCTGGTTAGATTTTTTGACTGCAGCTATCTCCGCGTTGGTGTGAGCCAGCTGAGTGCGGATGTCCTCCAGCTGCTGCCGCAGCACCACCTTGTTGCCCTCGTAGCGCCGGTGCAGGTCTGAGAAGGCAGTCTCCACCTTCTCTGTAATTGTCTTGACTAACTCCTCAGAGCTGGGATAGGGGATGTTGTCCAAGTGGGCTCTCTCTTCTGGTTCATCCTGGTAATACCGCCCAGCTTGGGGTACCAAGCTCTCTCCTAGCAGAGGGAGGTGATCTTGTCCGCCAGGTAGGAGTGGTGCTGCATGCGGGCGTGACAGCCTAGTACAGCCGCCGCGGTGTCCAGGAAGAGAGAGTCCTTGTCCTCGTGGGACATCACCACGGCCAGGGCGTCCACCACCACGAGGCACTCCATACCCTGGTAGGTCACCTGGCCTCCGCTGTGTGGAAGGCACAATGCGCAATTCCGTGGTGGCATCAGGGGGAGGGGGAGGGATGAAATTCTCCTGCTCCCTCAGGGCCCGCAGGTATGCCGATACCTCACTAAAACTTGGATATTTTCGCGGCATCTTGCAAGCGGCGAGGAAGAATGGCTTTTGATAATTGTAGGATGTGCTAGCTTCTTGGGTTTTCTCTGCAGGATGATACTTTCTTCTTTTATGAAAAAGTCAATGCAAAATCTTTTGGTTTTGTCCCGTTTGGTGACAAGAGTGACTGGACTGGAGTAAGGTGAAAACAAATTCTTTATGATATGGTTATCCAGCATTTGCGGGATTTGAGAGTGGATCTCCTGCTGGTCGCAAATTGGCACTCGGTATGGACGCAGGTATATGATTTTGTTTGAGTGTGTGGGTATTTTTACAGGGGGGATGTTGAGGCTAGGGACAGCGAATTCTTAGCATATTTATTCCAAACGTCATTTTGACAAGAATGAAGTTGTAGGGATTCTTGTAAAATCAAGCCAAATCAATAGGTAAACACATAGGATAAACCGAGCCCCTGGAGCGCAAGAAACGCCAACTGCCCGGGCTGTCCAGCTAACTACCTCGTGCAAGGAGAGCTTCCTCGATACCCTTAGTGACCTTTATGATAGCGGTGGAAGGCGAACCTTCCTTCCTAATCAATTTAACCAGCTTCAAGCCGTCACTGTTATTAATTAACTGCGGGGCTATCGGTGTACAGTTGTGGGTTGGTTGGACCTAAGTTGGATGGTAGAAGTATCTGGTTGGGGGATCATTTTAACAGGGTTAGGAGGAGAGGGAGGCTTGGCCAACCTTTTCCTAAGTTGGGTGACCTCATTTTCAACCATTCTTACATTTTTTTTTTAAA